GTGACTCTCCTGCTTCAGCCTCCCAAGTAGCTGGGATTACAGGCATGAGCCACCATGCCTGACTAATTTTTGTATTCTTGGTAGAGACAGGGTTTCGCCACGTTGGCCAGAGTGGTCTCAAACTCCTGACCTCAATGATCCACCTGCCTCGGCCTCTGAAAATGCTGGGATTACAGGCGTGAGCCACTGTGCCCGCCCAACCATCATCTAACTCTTAGCACATCATCTGAGTTGGCAATTTCCAACCTAATATATTTCTAATTTTTCTCACACCCTCATTGGATTTCGCATTTCCAGCTCTGTCATTTTACTAACTTTCTAATTCTAAAGAACCTTCGATGACAATCCATCCTATCCTTTACAATCTAAATTAATTTAACTTTAACACTTTACATGAAAGAATTTCAATTCTCACATTTTTTTTCCCTATCTCAAGGACTATAATTCTTGCAAATACTAAGAAAACACCCAAATAAATTCTGAATCTCTCATTTCTTTCTTTGGCTCAGATTTTTCAAAAGGAAAATAGGATAATAATAGTACTATTTCATCAGGTTTTTATTAGGATTAAACAAAAAACATTTGTTCAGAGCCTGCCCCATTACAGCTATTATTCTTGCTATAGGTTGAGTATCACTTATCTGAAGTGCTGGGGAACAGAAGTGTTTTGGATTTTTTTGAATCTTCCTAAAGGATAGAATGGATTTGGAATATGTGCATTACTGATGGAGCATCCCAAATCCAAAAATCCAAAATGCTCCAAAGAGCATTTCCTTTGAGCATCATGTAGGCCTTCAAAAAGTTTCAGATTTTGGACTTTCTGATTTGGGATGCTCAACCTGTTATTAGTAAAAGTATCATCATCGTCATCATCATTATTACTTCTGTTATTACTAAAAGTATCATCATCAGCATCATCATCATCCCAGTTATTGAAATGCCATTACCCCTAATCCAAGCAAGACATGATTTTTTAGGCCCCCTAATATTAGGTTAGAAACCCTTGTTACATACTCTTATAATATATTTTACTTTCCATGCCCAATACCCAACACTGTTATAAATTCCTTGTCCAATGTCTATTTTTTTCCTAAATAGGATCATTAATGAACCCCAGTACCCTCATCATCAAAACGAAACTGCTACTATTGACTACCTCATAGGGTTGTTGCTGAGGGTTAACTTGTGCATAAGACACAGCAAGCACTATATGTGTTGCCTATTATAATTACTATTCCATGTCTTGGTTTACATTTTCCATGATTATCAAAAGTGAACCAGTAACAAGAATATCAATTTCAGGCTTCTAAACTCTTCTCCTTCAGTTACATATATTCAGTATATAGGATTTTCTTAATGTAAACCTAAAATGAAATTTCAGCATCAGGGATAATCATTTAAGAAATATTATTATTAAATAGTGTTTCCTTGACATGTCAAATAATTCAAGTCATAAAAATGTAGTATGTTCCCACTTAACCTCATTTTTCATCAACTCTATTGATATACACACACATACCAGTAATATATATGCTATGAGGCAGAGCAGTTTTAGGTGCCCAGTTCAACAATTTGCAACTAAGGTCTATGGTTGGTATTACAAGATGTTAATGTCCCATATTCAAAGTTGAAAGAACTGTTGGCTACTGAAGTCAGCACTTCTGCATAGGAGTAGCCATTTTAGTAGAACTGTTCCATCACTGCTTCTACTACTGCTATCCAGCATTGTCATCCTCCCACTAAGGGGCCAAGAAGGACTAAGATGAAAAAGTGAACCCCTGCTTCTATTCCTTCTCACATCCTAACATCAGAGGAGTTACGCATCAAGAAGGGGTGGAGGGGAGTTTGTGAGAGCTAGACCACACCTCTTCTTCACTGCAAACCTAACCTGGAATGGGAACTGAGGTAGAAAGATAAATGGAGGTATAAATTGAATATGAGACTGAAATTTTTAAATAAATGGACCAAGTCTTAAGTAACTGAAAGATACTGTTTTAATTGCTAAAAATAAATGAAAAGAAAATGTAAAAGGGCTGAGTTATGCTCAAAGAATCCTGTCACCAAGTGGGAAAATGAGGTTGATATAACAGGACAGCTTATGATAAAAAACTATTTCATGTTTATATTACAGTAAGTTGAGAGTCTACACTACTAAAAATTTATCTATATTTATTACAATCTAGTGAAGTGAGTACTTTTAAAGATTATACATTATGAGTTATAGTCATGCCCCTAAACAAGAGCTATATTTAAAGTTCAAACAATTTTTTTAAATCAAAGCATAATGTACCCTTTAATCAGGAACAAGCATTGTATTTTAAGATGTTTCCTTTGTAATCGTTATTAACTAGATCAATGGTGTGATAATGTCCTTAATATGTCTAAGTCTCAATTATGGTTTTCCTGAGAGGGCTATAATGGCGGAGCCAGCAAGCACTAAAAGCTGGTAGGAGCAAAAGCAGCCACCTTGGAGAGGAGTAAAGGAAGGAGAGACACCAACAGTTCAGTAAGTGGTTTGTTTATAGAAAGCGTAAACTCAGAAACATTGACTAAAGCTTTTTTTGTTGTTTGTTTGTTTGTTTGAGATGGAATCTTACTCTGTTACTCAGGCTGGAGTGCAGTGGTGTGATCTTGGCTCATGGCAACTTCCACCTCCCCGGGTTCAAGCGATTCTCCTGCCTCAGCCTCCTGAGTAGCTGGGATTCCAGGAGTGTGCCACTATGCCCAGCTAATTTTTGTTCTTGTTTTATTTTTGAGATGGAGTCTCGTTCTGTGGCCCAGGCTGGAGTACAGTGGGGCCATCTCACTGTAACCTTGCCTCCTGGGTTCAAGCAATTCTCTCACCTCAGCTTCCCTGGTAGCTGGGACTACAGGCACGCTTCACCACGCCTAGCTAATTTTTGTATTAGCAAAGACAGGGTTTCACCACGTTGGCCAGGCTGGTCTCGAAGTCCTGACCTCAGGTGATCCACCCGTCAGGGCTTGCCAAAGTGCTGGGATTACCAGCGTGAGCCACCACAACTGGCTGACATTTGACCAAAATTTTATCTGGTCTATCCTTAATCTGTTAATGGTAAAACTATCTTATCAACATCATTACTGAACATGACTCCCTCTACCCCTTCTTGATGCGTAACTCCTCTGATGTTGGGTTGTGAGAAGGAACAGAAACAAGGTTCCACTTTTTCATCTTAGTGGATGAAAGGAGGAGTAAGATCACTAACAACAAAGGGTTTCCTGGAATGCAATCAATTTACATGTGTGAAAGTATCTGTAACAAGAAATACTCCTATAATACACAGGACTTTTTAATGAACTGAAGAAAGAATGATAGCAGGAAACTTAAGCAGCTATTAAGAAACTGAAATAAGAATAATCTCAAGCAGAAAGAGCAGAAGAAATCCTTCAAACAGACTGACAGACACTCATTCTGAAGGACACCAACACAAAGAACAACCCTAGAGCCAAAATCCTCCTGATAAGCAGCGGCAAAGCACAGAATTCTCATTTTAAACAAAGGCTAGCTGGAAACACATGAAGACTCACTTATTTTTACTTGTGTATATACACGTTGCCTCTCAAAAGTCGGCTAGTTTTTACTAATTCTACTCCAAATGAGAGTGCTCTAGAACAGAGGATTTTGAAATCACCAAATCCAACCTCATTTACAAAGGAGAAAATATAGGCCCAAAGACACTAAGTAACTTTTCCAAATTCTTGCAGGAAGTTAATGGTAGGATGCACCTGCCCACATGACTGTGGTCATACTTTGACCTCACAAGGCCTCTCTAATGTGTCAGAGATTTGGGGGCACCGTGAATATTAAAGAATATGTAATGAATTCATAAGGCAGCTTCTACAGAAGCGGAATATGTATCACTTCTGAAGTGCCACTTTGAAGGAGGGTGTCAGATATAGCTGTGTGCTCCATATATATAAACACAAAGTACCTGCTGCCCAGTCTGGATTCTCCTCCTGGGCTCAAAAGATCTTCCCGCCCCAGCCTCCTGAGCAGAGTAGCTGGAACTACAGACAAGGGCCACCAAGATACACGTGTTTGGGCATATTTATTAAAACACTAACCATATTCCTTTTTAGTTAAGTTACCCCACATATTTCTGAATTCTCCAGCCATCTCAAGGCTGGTCACATATCAACTGTTTTCAATTTCAGGCTACTGAAAACTCATTTAAAAAAATCCTTGATTCGAACACTTTAAAGTCCCTTTCCTATGCCTGGTCCCATTTTTAAGAGGATTCTGCCTTTGGTTAACATTCTTCAGAGCAGAAACAAAAAGTATTCCCCTCCCCTTTTCATTTCTTAATTCCATAAACAGCAATTCTACAGATAAAAAATATTTTATGTAAAGTAAGGAAAATTTATTTAAAAGGGCTATGCTAAAATGAGATTTTAATATTTCTTCAAAGCTTAAGATTTCTTCAAAACGTCTTAATATTTAGATTAATTTGTAGATCTTAAGATCTACAAATTAAATATTAAACAAGATAGATTATTACACACATAGATCAAATTATGTGTGATCACATAGATCAATAGATGTCCTCACTGTTTTACTGCTTTAAAACAATCTATAGGGCCCAGCATGGTGGCTCAGGCCTGTATTCCCAGCACTTGGGAAGGCCCAGGCAGGAGGATCACTTGAGGCCAGGAGTTAAGACCAGCCTGGGCAACACAGCGAGACACCATCTCTACAAAAATAAAGATAAAATTTAAAATAAAATAAAATGACTGGTAGGATGTGGAGTTATAAACAGATTTTACACTTTGTGCCTATCTTTATTTTCTAAACTCTCTAATGCTAATTTTTCATAACCTTCAAATATTAAAGCAATTAACACAAATAAAATAAAATAAGACATGGCTAGCATGTCTGCTACCTGTTAAAGGAAGCCAAGGACACTGGAAATTACCCTGTGCCTTATGCTGAAACTGTTCAGCAGCACTTTCAAAAATTCTGTAAGTTATCAATATCATGTCGCTACAAATGACTGTTTTAAAGAATGGCACAAAGACACTGTGGTGAAAAAAATCAACCAACACAACACAAAATAAACAGGAACTGAGAAAGTTTCTAGGTTCTGCCATCACAAGACAACGTGCAGCCGTTCAAAAAGTACACGACGCAAAAAGTCAACTAGCTTCCCATGTTAATGAAGTGTTTCATTTTACAAAGAAGTATGTGGCTTTTTATGTTTCGTTTAGGAAGTGAATCCTAATAGCTGACAAATATCAAAGAAAGATTGACCCAAACCAAAACGAAAACAGGCACAACGCTCTTCAAGAATCCAAGACTGAAAACACCGACGTCATAACTGGTTCAGTCTTCACCTCCCAGTGGGAGGGAAAGAGAGAATGGATCGTACCCTTGAAATGCTTGGCGGGGAAAGAAAATCAAGTCTAGGTGGGGAAAGCAGGAAGAGCAGAGCAGGAAGAGCTGGCACGCAGCTCAAAGTCTTCCCTCCCCAGAGCCGAAGGAGTCCTTCCTTCCTCGCCCCCTGCGGCCGCCACCCCAGCCACGTCGCCCGCCCGGTCCCAGGCACACCTGCCAGGGCCGGGCCGCGACCCCCGCCCGGCGCCACGACCACCGCCTCCCCCCAGCCCTCAGCCTAGGTCGTCCGCGCGGAAGGCGAAAGAAGGGTGGGCTCACCAGGTCCCTCCGGGCTGGACGGCGCCGGGGGCCGGTGGGGCGGGGACCCGCACCCGAGGTCCCCCTGGGCGGGCTCCCTCAGGTAATCCTCGAAGCGCACCTGCCGGGCTTCGCCGCCGCCCCCGAACCCCCACAGGCGGTTGGCCGTGCCCCGCAGAAGGCGTCCGCTCTTCTCGGTGAACGTTGTCAGGTAGTCCATGCTGCCGCGGGGCCGGACGCGGAACTGGGGCCCAGGAGGTCGACGGTTTCGGCGGTGGCGGCCACCACTAGCGCGCCCGCCGCCCCATCAGACCTGATCCAGGGGAGGTGGCTCCGCGCGCCTCACAGGAGGTGGAGAGGGGGAGGGGGCGTCCCTCTCCCGGCCCGGGGACAGACCATCAGGAAACCACGCGTCGGGGGAGCAAAAGACGGACAAAAGTTTTTGAAAAGTTTTTCTTGTGGCTTCCAAATGCCAAATGAGGCAGAACTTAGCTTGTCACATAGTTATATTCTTCCTGGAACCGAGGCGGGGTCGGAAAACTGGTGGCTTTTAAGCAAGCTGGACGGGTCCTCTCCGGGCATCCCCCCACCGGCCTGGCGCCAATGGAGCTGGCCTGCCCCGCCCTGCCCCTCCCAGCCCCGTCCGGGCTCCGACCGGACTTTCAGGACTGCAAGGGAAAGGGGGTGGACAGCCAGCCTCCCGCCAGGTCAGAGGAGGGGATAAAAATGGCCCAGGGGAGACATTGCTGGAGTTGCACGGAGTTCGGGAGCTTAGGAAGGGTCTGCAAATAACAGTCAAAAACTTTGAAGGGTGTGTATGTTGGCTTGGGGAAAAAAGAGGGTGGAGTGTATCACATAAAACTTGCAGCTTGTATTTACTTTTTTCTTTTTTTTTTTAGGACGGCGGAGATACTTTCAACGTTAAGATTGCAGTCATAATTACAACATGAATAGTAACATTTTAAGTTCGTTGTACCAGTATGAACTCATGTTAGTGTTCGACATTCTATGATCCCAGTCCTGTTTAAGCAATGTAATTGAAGACTTTAGTTTGCAGATCTACCTTTCAGGGACCAAGAACCTAGACAGGGAAAGAGCGGTACCTTTTGACAGAAATTTAATACCCCATTTTGCTTCCTGTGAGATCTGGTTATTCTCTTCCTTTCACATCTGTTCGTAGCTCTTGTAGTTTTCCCAGGCATTAAATAAGTAAACCCTCTTTCTTGGAATCACCAATATATTACTATACTGGGGGAAAAAAAAAGATTTGAATTACTTAGGAAGCTGATGAACTACCCACTCCAACAATAGAGTCCTGAAAATCAGTCTTAAGCTTTTGGCCAAACTACTGAAGATTATGCCTCCTGACACACACACACCCTCTTTTTGTTGTTGTTGTTGTTGTTTTAACCAGTTGACAGATCTTTTTTGCATCATCACCATTTTCAGTTTAAATTCTTACTAGGTTGGATAAATGTCACCATTCTAATATCAGCCATCATCATTATACTTGGTGAAAAATACCGCATGTCTGGGCTGCACCCTCACAGTGTCTAATTCGGTGTTTATGGGAAAGGGGCCCAGGAGAATCAGCATATCCAGCAATCCATGTTTTCAGGGTTGTGGCTTGGGAAAGAACTGTTACAGACTTCTGCTCTACCTAAGGACCTATTTTGTAGATGTTGCAATGGATGGAATGTTTGTGCTTTCCCTCAAATTCATTTGTTAAAATCCTAACCCCAGTGTGATGGTATTAGGAGGTGGGGCCTTTGGGAGGTAATTCATGAGCATAGAGGCCTCATGAATGCGATTAAGTGCCCTTATAAAAAAGGGACCCAGAGAGCTGTCACCATCTTGCTGCCACATGAGGATACAAAAACACAGCAGTTTGCAAACCAGAAGAAGGTCCTCACCAGAAACTAACCATGCTGGCACCCTAATCTTGGACCTCTAGCCTCCAGAACTGTGAGAAATAAATGTGTGTTTATAAACCAGTCAGTGAGTCTGTGGTGCTTTATTATAGCATCCAGAACGAGCTAAGACAGCTACTAAGTAGCATTCCATTTGACAAGGAAGCCTTACCATGCACACTACTTTTGAGTTCAATGAGAGAGAGGCTCGGTAAGTTTTAAAAATCAAATTTCAATGAATTAGTGTAATTCTCATTAACAATTTAAATTATTTTTCTAAGATATGTTTTACATCTTCTAAAAATTTACCGGTTTGTTATAAGCATATCCAATTAATGCTTGAGATTTTACCTGATTAGATCTCCACTTTTACGTCCAATATTTGCAGGAACCTTCATTCTACCAGTTCAAATCCAGATTTACAGGTAGTTAACCCATCTGGTTTTTTGTTTTTGTTTTTGTTTTTTTTTTTTTCTGCTTCTATTTTATAGAAGGCTAGAGCTGCTGGAGAAAAATGTGTAACCTTGGTGACTGAATGCCTTACAATCTTTGATTTAAACTCGGCTGGTCGTAATGTCTCTAAAATCCTTTTATTTATATAGTCAGTGTTCTCTTTCATTCTCTATATTTGTTGTCTGAACTGTCATCATTCTCCTGAAGTTACCAAACTCGTCACTTGAACATGTTACTTTGCCTTCTACATGACCCAGAAAATCATAGGCCATGAAATATGAACATTCATTTTTCTTTCCTTTTTCTCTTCAATCTACATCAAGTTGCTCTCCCTACCTTGTCTTAGAAGGAGGTCTTTATTCCTGTCCATGCCTTTCTTCCGAAAGTCTAATTATGTTGTCTGTGGCTTGCCAGCTTTATTATTCTTCTCTGTTCCTTTTCACTATATGTCCTTTCCTCTTATCCTTCCATCAGCCACATAAATCACTCTCAGCCTTAAAAAAAGCTTGCTTATATACCATGCCCGCTTTTTCAAGCTACCTTTTGCCTCATTAAAAAAAAACCAAACCTTTATTGATATGTAATTTAAGTACTGTAAAATTCAACTGTTAAAATTATACAGTTCACCTGATAACAATTCAGGGTTATAAAGCTACCATCAAAATGTAATCTTTGAACCTGAACATTTCCATCACCACAAAAACTTTTTACCAATCTGTAGTCACTCCCCAGTCACACTTGCAGCCCTAGGCAACCACTAGTCTATTTCTGTCTCAGTGGATTTGCCTTTTATAGACATTTCATATAATACTTGGTCTTTGGGGTCTGGTTTCTTTCACTTGTTTTGAGGCTTCTTCGTGTTGTAACATGTATTAGTACTTCATTCCTTTTTACTGCCAAATAACATTACATTGTATAAGATATACCACATTTTATCGATCCATTCATCCATTGATGGATATTTGGATTGTTCATACCTTGAGGCTATTATGAATAATGTTGTTAGGAACATCTATGTAATTAAGTTTTTTTGTTGACCTATTTTCATTTCACATATATACATATGAGTGAAACTGCTGGGTCAAAATGGTGGCTTTCAGTGGGCAAAAAGGTTTAATTTTGATGAAGTCCAATTTATCAATATTTTTATCAGGTCTGTGCTTTTCATTGTATCTAAGAAATCTTTTGACTAATCCAAAGTATGAAGATTAACTATTATGTTTTTTCTATGAGTTTTATTTTATTTAGCTCATTGATCTAATATAGGTCTAATATAGGTCTTTGATCTATTTGGGGTTAATTTTCAGGTTTCGTGTGAGGAAGTGGTCCAAATTCATTTTTTTATGTGTGGCTATCCAGTTGTTCCAGCACCATGTATTGAAAAGATGATTTTTTCCCCCATTGTCTTTGCATCTTTTTCAAAACTTAATTGACCTTAAATATAAGGTTTTATTTCTGGACTCTCAATTCTACTATTCCTAAACCCATGCCAATACCATGCTATCTTGATTACTTAGCTTTCTAGTAAGTTTTGGAATTGGGAAGTGTGAGTCTTCCCGTTTTGTTCTTCATTTTGAAGATTGTTTTGGCTATTTTGCATCCTTTTCATTCCATATGAATTTTAGGATTACTTTGTCAATTTCTTCAAAGAAAAAAGTCAGTTGTAATTTTGATAGGAATAGCATTAAATCGGTAGATCAGTATGGGAAGTATTGCTATATCGTCCAGAAACAAAAGGATGTCTTTCCATTTAGGTAGATCTTCAATTGCTTTCAGCAGTGTTTTGTGCTTTTCATTGTATAAATCTTGTACTTTTTTGTGACATACATTAATACGTGTTTTATTTTTTGTTGGTATTGTGAATAGATTTTTTTTTAGATTGCCATTGCTAGTATACAGAAATAAAATCGATTTTTGAACACTGTTCTTGTATCTTACAACCTTGCTGGACTCACTAATAAATTCTACTCATTGTTAAATGGATTTCTTAACATTTTCTCTATATAAGTACATGTTTTCTGTAAATAAAGATGGTTTTGTTTTTTCCCTTCCAATTCAGATGCCTTTTTTTTCTTGCCCAATTGCCCTGGTTAGAACTTTCACAGTACAATATTAAATAGAAGTTGTGAGAGCAGATATCATTTTATTCCTGAATTTGGAGAAAACACACTGAGTCTTTCACAATTAAGTATGATATTATATGTTGGTTTTTTGTAGATGCCCTTACTCTAGCTTAGGAAGGACCATTCAATTCCTAATTTATTTTATTTTTGTCATAAATGGACGTTAGATTTTGTCAAATGCTTTTTCTGCTTCTGTTGATATAATATTGTGCTTTTTGTTCTTTATCCTGTTAATATAGTGTTTACATTAATTAATATTTGTATATTAAATGAACCTTGCCTTCCTTAGATAACCTTCAGAATGTATAATATGATGCTTGATTTGGTTTGTTGGTATTCTGTTGATGATTTTTTGTCTATATTCATAATAGATATTATATTGGTTTATACTTTTCTTCCCTTGTGATATCCTTGTCTTGCTTTGGTATTTGGGTAATACTGGCCATCCTTTTCTAATTTTTTGGAAGAGTTTCTGAAGGATTGTTACTAATCATTCTTTAAGTGTTTAATAGAATTCCCGATTGAAGCCATCTGGTCCTAGGCTTTTCTTTCTGGTAATATTTTAAATTACTATAATCGTTTACCTCATACACACACACACACACACACACACACACACACACACACACACACACACATATATATATATATTAGATTTTCTATTTCTTCTTGTGTCAGTCAGTTTTGGTAGCTTTGTCTTTCTAGGAATTTGTCCATTTAATGTAAGTCATCTAATTTGTTGTTCATAGTATTCCTTTTAATCCTGTTCATTTCTCTGATTTATATTAATATCAGCTCTTTTACTCCTAATTTTAGTAATTTGAGTCATCTCTGTTTTTTTCTTGCTCATTCTAAATCTTTGTCAATTTTGTTGTTCCTTGCAAAGAGCCAACTTGAGGTTTCATTAATGAGGTTTCTCTAATGTTTTTCTATTTACTATTCCATTAATACCCATGCTAATCTTTATAATTTCCTTCTTTCTATTTGTTTTGTGTTTAGTATCTTCTATTCCCACCTCCAACCTCCCTAGTTTCATAAGGCAGAAGGTCAGGCTATTGATTTGAAATCTTCTTTTTTTATAATATAGGTTTTTACAGCTACATGCCTCATTAGTTCTGTCCCACAAATTTTGTTATATTGTACTTTAGTGTTTATTTATCTCAGAGTAATTTTCTTTATGAATTATCATTTGACTCATTGGCTATTTAGGAGTATGTTGTTTAATTTCCACATATTTGTGAATTTCCCAAATTTCTTGTGTTTTTCTGACTTCTAACTTAATTTTACTGTAGTTAGAGAACATACTTGGTATGATTCCCCCATCCTTTCAAAATCATTGAGTCTTTTTTATGGCCTAGTTTATAGTCTATCCTGGATAATATTCCATTTTCCCTCATTTTTAAGCCTTCCATTCATCACTGAATTTCTTGAAAATCCATATTTGCTGCCTCTCTTAAGCTCCTACCCAAGCTCACTCTCAGCAAATTCTCATCCATTCATTCAGCTTTAGTAAATGCCTACTCAGCACTAAGATAGAAAGTCCCTATTTCTATGGCACTTTCAAGCTGATGGTACACTCCCAAAGATCACCAGTGCCAGCACAAGATGTTTTTGTGTGATTAGAAAGAGATACCCCTGCAAATAGACACGTTACAAAAAGGCATCTCTAATCCAAAAATGAAATTAAGAAAATAATTCCATTTATAGTAGCATCAAAAAGACAAAAATACTTAGAAATAAATC